GATTCACATAATTAAAGGCTAGAAGAGGGGGGATTGATTTTCAAAAAAGCTGAAATGATTTCAGATTTGAATACTTGGAGGGAATTTAATTTGAAATTTCGATTTCCAAATTAATGAATGATTAATAGCATTGATTGGGGTGTTAATGGGGGGGGTGGGGGCCATGAAAATTGGGGCCGGCGTATAGAGGAGAAAAGAGGGAGGGGAGTGATTCAAAAAAACCTGAAATTAATTTAAGATTTAAGAAAATTTGGGGGGAAAACTTAATTTGAAATTGATCTCAAATTAATTTAGTCTGGTGATTAATGAGCATTGAATGGGGGCCCATTAAAGGGTGGCCGCGGCATTGAGTGAGAAGGGAGGTATTGGGAATTTGAGAGTTTTTAATGCAGCCCTCTAATTAATGAGGAGGAAAATACATTAATCATATTATTTTTAAAATTAAATTGAATAGAATTCAAACTTTTCCAAATAATGGCGGGGCAAATTAGGAAAGATTTTGAAAAATTCAAAATTTAAATTTCAAATCTTGGGGCTTTTCTTTCCTAAACTTCAATGGGTTATTTTGGGGAATTCATGATGCCATTAGTCCTCATTAATGGTGGGGACAAAGAGGAAGCCGCGGCAGCATGGTGGGGAGGGTTTGGGAATCCGGTGGGGGATTTGGGAGCAGATTGGCGGTAGAGATTGGGGACTTAGTAGATGATAACTAACAATTGGTTGGTGGCGAATTTGAGGAAGGAGGTGGAGGAAAGGGAGGTGGCAGCTTGGGAGCAAGTGGGATGGTGGCGGGTAGGAAGGGAAGAAAGACGAGGGGAAAAGATAACGATCACGAGCCACGGACTCTTAAAAAACTGGTGGGTATTGCGTCGCCCTTCACCAAGGGACTTTCTCGAAGCTCTCTCCAAGAACTCTCAAGCTCTCACAAGAGTAAAACACAGAAATTTTCATAATAATCTTCATTAGCCCTTCTCCAAGAAGAGGAGGGGCTTAAATAGACAAATACAAGAAGGAAAAAAAATAAAAGACAACAATGCCCTCGGGGCTTACAAAGAACTAATCCTTTAAGCAAGGGCATAAATGGAAAAGACAGAAAATAAATAAATACATCACATATAATTGAAATAAAAAAAGGCGTCATCATAGCTGTCGATCATCGGCCACATCTCTGAGGGAACATTAAGGGTCTGATGTCCACATCAGAATACCTATCAAGCCAACGGATAATCCAAGTGAGTTCGGATAATCCAAGTGAGTTCATGTGCGTATACGCCTGAACAAAATGGGGCAACTGAGAGGAAAAATAGGTAACTTCTGGAAGTTGCCAGATATATTATGCTATTCACAAAAGTAAGGGAACATTAAGGGTCTGATGTCCACATCAGAATACCTATCAAGCCAACGGATAATCCAAGTGAGTTCGGATAATCCAAGTGAGTTCATGTGCGTATACGCCTGAACAAAATGGGGCAACTGAGAGGAAAAATAGGTAACTTCTGGAAGTTGCCAGATATATTATGCTATTCACAAAAGTACCAAAAAAATTTATGGGTGGAAGTCATTCTTATTGCTGCATACCTAATAAATAGGTTACCTACTCGGGTACTAAAATTTGAAACACCTAAACATACTCTACTCAAAGCCTATCCTCATGCTCGGTTCATATCATCAAATCTTCCACCTAAAGTTTTTGGGTGCTCTGTCTTTGTTCATATCATAAGATAGGAGCAAGTTTGACCCAAGATAAAAAAAATGCGCCTTTATTGGCTATTCCCCGACAAAAAGGGGTTACAAATGCTTTTTCCCAACTTCTAGGTATTTGAAACCATGGATGTCACCTTTTTTGAAAATAACCCATGTTTCACTTGTTCTGAAATTTAGGACGAGAGTGAAGGAAAATTTCAAAATTAGGAATGAAATTCCTTATTATACAACCAAATAGATTTCAGTAAAAATGAACAAATATCACAAAATATTCAAACCACGAGTATTTCCCAAGGTATATCTCCGATGTCTCAACTTCCCACCTTCGGACCTATTACTTCCACCCATGAGTCCTAATCAATCCTGGCAAGGAGCAACAATTAAGGAACAACAATATGTATACTCAAGGAAAAGAAAGAAAAAATAGTATAGGCAGAGTAGCAAGACACATCTTGTACCTGTTAAACCTCCTTCAATAGACCCAACAACTATAGAGATTCATACAGAGGAGAAAAATGAGGAAGTTCAAAAGGAGATAGAGTCATCAAATGGCCAGAAATAATCATGCACCAAGTATCTAATCAAAAACTTTTCTCTCCTATAGCAGATTATTAAACACTTATTAAGTCGTTCTTTCAAAGTTGGATGATGTGTAGATTCCGACCAACATTCAGGAAACTTTGAATCAACCAGGGTGAAGACAAGCTGTTAAAGAAGAAATTATGGCCTTAGAGAAAAAGCAAACATGGGTAATTACAAATCTCCCACCAGGAAAGGGAGTTGTGACCTACAAATGGGTGTTCACCATAAAGCATAAGGAGGATGGTAGTCTTGAGAGGCAGAAAGCAAGACTAGTTGCAAGAGGATTCACTCCGTCTTATGGAATAGACTATCAGGAAACTTTTGCTCATGTACCAAAACTTAATACCATCGGGATTCTTCTTTCCTTAGCAGCAAATTTAGATAGGCCCCCACATCAACTAGATATCAAGAATGCATTCTTTAATGAGAACCTGAAAAAATAAGTTTACATGGAGATTCAAATGGGGATTCAAAAGTTTTATGGAAGGGACAAAGTGCGTAAATTGTTGAAATCCTTGTATGGATTAAAGCAGTCTTCTAGAGCATGGTTGGAAGATTCTCAAAGTATGTAAAAGGCCATGGTTTTAAACAATGCCCGACAGATCATACCTTGTTTTTGAAATAGTTAGAAAGAAACAAGGTAGCAGTGATAATTGTATATGTGGATGACATCATCCTTACTGGAAATGATATAGAGGAAATATTGCTTTGTCCAAGGAGTTTCAAGTTAAAGATCTAGGATCACTTAGATACTTTCTTAGTATGGAGGTAGCTCGATCAAGCAAAGGTATATTTGTTTTCCAACGCAAGTATACCTTATATATCTATTGAAGGAGACCAGCTTGCTGGCATGCAGACCAACCATTACATCTATGAATTCTAGGTAGAAACTTGGGATAGAAAAAGAGGGGGTTCCAGTAGATAAAAGAAAATATCAACGTCTGGTAGGAAAGCTTATATACCTCTGCCACACCCATCCAGATATTAGGTTCACTGTGAGCATGGTGAGCCAATATATGAGTAATCCTATGAAGGAGCACATGGAGACAACATATCAAATCTTGAGATTTCTCATGAACACTCCTGGAAATGGCCTATTATTCAAGAAAAATGAAGATAGGAAATTAATCCTTTATTTTGATGCAGATTGGGCAAGAAGCCAGATTGATCGTTGATCGACCATAAGATATTGTTCATTTGTGTGGGGGAATCTAGTGACATGGAGGAGCAAGAAACAATCTGTTATTTTTAGAAGTAGTGTGGAATCTGAAATAAGAGCATTAGCAGTTACTATTTGTGAAGATATTTAGATCAGACTAGTATTGATTGAACTTGGAATAAAGATTGAAGTCACAATATGACAATCAAGCTACAATCAGTATACCAAGGATCCAATACATCACGATAAAACAAAACATGTTACTATTTATAGAAACTTTATATATGAGAAAATAGAGAATTCAGTAATTGAAGTAGTATATACCCCAACTCATGAACTTGTCGATGTTCTAACAAAGGCACTACCGGGCTCTTTACTTGATAAGTTTGTTTGCAAGTTAGGATTGTATAACATGTACAACCCAACGCGAGGGGGAGTGTTGAATCATATGCCAACGTGAGGCCCACGTCTTTGAGAGGTTAGCAATTTGTGGGATACAACTGTCAGCTGCCGTTGAAGATTTCCTCTATGACACCAAGATCTGTGGGATTGATTCCATTATCTATGAATATATATTATTAGAATCAATTAGATCAAATGACTTTCCTCTTCTATTTATTATAATTAATTAGATTGATTGTCTTTCTTTTTATATTTATTCTCATAGAGTGTATATATATGTAATGATTCCATGGAATAAAATTTGAATTTAATTTCCTCTAAATAATTTCTTCAGTTTTCTTATGAGCATTATGAGCCTCAGCAGTGTTCAAATTTTATTATCTTTAAAAAGTGTATTTTTTCCTTAATAACTTTTTTACTTCCTCTCTTCTCTCCTTATTTTCTTTAGCTTTTTATAATCATGACTCTCCTAAAACTTCTACAACAACATTCTTAGTGGAACTAGTCCTCTTTTTTACACATCCGTTTAAGCTCAAATAAAGAATTTTAATTTCTCTCTTTTAGCAACCTATCTAGAAATATCAATAATTTCTCTTTTTTTAAATTCCACCACCTTCTCCTGAATCATTGTACAATCTTTGCATGAAGATTTTTCTTTGCTTCTATGTAAGAAGAAATTTATTTGTGAAATGATCTCCACTTTTGAAGTAACCATGTTCTTGTTTCATAAAGCATGTGCTCACTATTCCAATATCATAGATTGCTGTAAAATCAATATTAGCTTCTCCTCCTACATTTTTTGGTCCTATTATATATCTACATTGAATTCTCTCATAGCATCCTATAATCTTCGTGGTCATTTAAGCGGCCTCCAATACCTACCTTTTGTTCATTAGTATACATTGTGTTAGTTCAACTCTTCCAAAATTGATGTTCTTATAATTTTCTTCTATGCTAATTTGAGTAGCATAAGTATTGACTACATTTGTAGTTTTCTCATTAATATTTATCTTAATAACAATTACGTTATCATTAACTTTATGAATGTTCTCTTTTCATTATTCCAGATATTTCTTAGTTATGCTCTTTCTGTGAAGTTTACCTTGTATTGCTCCGGTGTAGTTCATGACAATCCTCTTGAATGTTGTTGCAGCTTGAACAGAATATTCGTGGCATTGCTTTTTCAGGGGGATGGACTAAAATTATGGATGACTTAATTGAAATTCCCAAATCGTCAAGTGGATTTGGCCAAGCTGGAGGAAATCAAAAACGTGGAAGTGGTTTAAAAAGAGGTAGAAAGCCATCCAAACTTACATCTGCATCTTCTGATGATAAATGCGACTATTTGCAGTGGTGGCGAGGTGGGAAGCTTTCGAAAGCCATACTTCTAACTGCCACAATTCCTTGTGCACTAGCTAAGAAAGCTGCTCGACAGGGTAAAATGGGTTTTGCAAGTATTTTGAGGTATCTTATCATTGATTAATTGACATATAGGTTAAATTATGCCTATCTATTTGTTTTGTTGAAGGTGGCAGAACAAGGGTATTCGATATCTCATACCATGAGAGCTCTGCTTATCGTCGAAGAACTCGGCAGGTTGCATGGAGAGCTGCTGTAGAATTGAGTAAAAGTGCATCACAGCTTGCTCTTCAGGTTAGCTTATCCTCCTTTCCCAGCACATAGCTTCTTTTCTATCTTTCCTTATAGCTGCTCCATTCATATTTTCAAAATTGGTGATCAGATTAGGTATCTTGATGCTCATATAAGATGGAAAGAATTCACTCGTCCGGAGCAGATTCCAAATGATACCAAAGGGTCTGAAACTGATGTCATGATTTTCAGAAATGCATCTATATCTGATAAAAAGATTTGGGAAAATAAGATACTGTATGCACTCAAATTTCGTGATCAAAAGCATCTTCCTTCACGCATAGCAAAAACTGTTTTGGAATCAGAAAAAGATCAGGATGGAAATGAGAAACTGTGGTTCTCTGAAATTCATCTTCCTTTATACTTGGTAAAAGAGTACGAGGAAAAGGTTGGCACATGCGAAGTACTTCCTGCTGTGTCAACAGTGCACAATATGGCAAAATTCTATAGAAGAGGACTGAAATTTTACTGGGGAGATATTTTCACATACCTTACATGCAAAAAGGAGAATCCAGTGAAGTGTTCATTTTGTCAAAAAGATGTTTTTCTGAGGTAGTCATATGATCTTTTCCTGCAGTGTCTGAATCATTTAGTTTTAAAGATAAAAATTGTTGTTTGGTATTCTTTTTTCTTGATAAAATTACTAAATTTTGGTATATTTTATTCTCTGACACATGTATTTCTATTATATTTGTAGGTATGGTGTCAAGTGTAAGGCTTGTGAAGGTATCAAATCACCTATTGATGCACTGATCTACTTTCATTTTGGCTTTCAAGGTTTATGATCATTCTCTTTTTGTTGCTTTATTTCAGACTATTGTCACCTGGATTGTTCAGTGCCTTCAATTCCGAAGCAGGAAGATGATACTGAATTTTCTAGAATGTGTAAGTCATGTTATTCTGCTAAAGTCCCGGAATTAATTGAGAGTTCGCAGAGGACTTGTAGCCTGAAACCTTCCTTTCTGGGAAACTATCAGTCACCGTCAGCACCTGGCATGAATGGCATTCCCCAGACTAGGCCGTGCAGTACCTCACTCTCAGCTACTAAAATGGAAGTTAAATCCGATTCAAGATCTTCCAATCATACTCCTTGCTCAAAAAGCAAATCTAAACGAAAAGGGGGAACATGGCTTACACATGGTATTGTCTGGAAAAGGAAAAAGCATGGTACTGAGGGAGGCAAGGAGTTCAGGATGGAAAATATTTTACTAAAAGTTAAGGATGGATCATGTTCATCAAAAAGTCCGATCTGTTGCTTATGTAAAATGCCTTACAATTCAAACCTGATGTATGTTTGCTGTGACACATGCAAAAGTAAGTTGGGACTATGTTTGTTTGCAGTTATTGCTTGTTTTGAAAATCCTTTTTCTTAGCATGAAAACATTTATGTGTCTTTTTAATATCTATATTTTGTGTGTGCGCCTGCCACTTGCAGAATGGTGTCATGCAGATGCTGTGCTGCTTGATGAAACCAAAGTCCTTGATGTAGTAGGGTTCAAGTGTTGCAAGTGCCGAAGGAAATCTTCACCTAAATGCCCCTATGCAGATATAGGCTACATGAAACTAGAGGAATCACTGAAACTTGATAATGCGGAAGAAATTGGTGATGCTATGCATATTCTGCCTAAATCTGAGTCTCCAAGCACATCCATATCCAATTCCGATACTGACACTTTTGATAGGGTAGAATTTGATCCTCTCGTACATCCTTTAGAAAAAGTTGAGCCAGTTGATGAGACAACTCTTGAGATGGAAGACAGATTTGCAGCCTTAGAATCATTAAAAGGCCAGCAAAATCTTTCTATTAGATCTCATGTTAAACAGGAAGATTTTGATGAGTGGAATGCAGATCAGATTGGTTACTCACTTCATGAAACATCTCAAAGCATGCAGAATATTCCAGCACCAAACCCTATGTGTGTTTCATTGAAGATGCCTGCACCATTAGAATGGGATAGTGTCGAATTATATGGTCATGGCAACTTAGACGTCAAGAATATCTGCAAAGAAGAGCATTTACCTGATCAAGAACTTGATGTGGCAGGGAACATGGAATATGAACCTCAAACTTACTTCTCTTTTATTGAGTTATTGTCTTCTACAGATGAAATGCCTATGGGCATGACAGAACATCAGGATATCCCGATCACGTTGAATGATCATGGAGCCACTTATTCTGATAGGCCATGTGATAATTTGTCCGTGAAAAGTGAAGTCGTGGTGAAAGAGGAATATGTTTTTGATGGTTTTGAATGCCAAAAATGCAAACTTTATAACCCCTCTCCAGATCTCATATGTGAGATTTGTAGGCTCTGTATACATTCTGATTGCTCTCCTTGGGTTGAGGAGGGTATTGAGATTTCAACTGGCTCCAAATGGAGATGTGGCAACTGTAGGGAATGGAGATAATCTGGAATATGTTGTTAACCTTGCTCTTTGAGCTTTGGAATACCGTATTTGCTGATTTTTCACATGAGACAGATATTCTGTCATACTCGGGATGCAGTTAGTGTCCACATATTGGAAAAAAAAATAGATGGATTGATTTGAGCCAGTGCAGGGGCAATTGAAACTAAGCTTCTGCAAAATCTTTATTTTTTTATGTTTACTTGTAAATATTTAAGTTATATAGATTGGCAACCAAACAACATTGTTGATTTGGCTGTTGTACCAGGAAGGGTGGATGATCTATTGAGAAAGACGTATGAGGAAGCTATCAAATTTTGACAAGTTCGTTTTTGTCTTTTGTTGTAGATTTTTGGTGGGAGTTCTATCTCCATCTAATTGATCTTGCATCACTAAATTGGAACTACAAGGTGTAGCTAAGTTTGCATCATTTATTTATGCAGTTGGTTTTGCTGATTATAGTGCATATTTCATACTTGATGAGATTTGGACTTCTACTTCTTTTTGCATAAGATTACTGTGACATTGCTTTACTTTTTTTTTCCTTGGAAAATATCATTTATCTGCTTCTCATCAGCTCTGAATAATGCTCAACTTACTTTCATCATAAGCATCATTTCATGCAGTATTCACCTTTACTAAAATCCATTCCTTTTCTTGCGCAGTTCAATCAAATAGGAGTTGTTGATTCATGCTCCTAAAGAATATTTGGTTTATACTTTATCTTTGCATGTACAAACAGGCTGTGACAACTTTTCTGCTCTTTTGTGGTTAGTGATGTATAAATAATAACAACAACATCATCAAGCCTTTGTCCCACTACGTGGGATTGACTATATGAAATCTTTTTTTCCATTGTCTTGTTAAAAGTCAAATTCTCGTTGTAAATATAACTTGTAAATAAATACAGATTAGTTAAATCCTATTATCTGCTCTGGAAAATGTAATGATTGTGTATGTCTCAGTTCTTTTTTGTTTGCACTGTTTTTCTTTAGTGATTAGATTTGCTACTAATCCTTCATTTTAATGTTGAGTTGCATCAGGACTTTGACCATGTCAACATTAAATTGGTTGGAGTTGATGTTTTTGATAGACAAGTGAGTGCTTCTTTTCATTCTGTAATTAACTTTCATATATGCTATGATTTAAGTGGTGTTATGCATATGAAACATCTTGGACAAGAGTTGTGTATTTTTATTAAATTCTTTTACATATGTGAGTATGTAATTTTGTTTTGTATGTTGCTAGTAGATTGAATTAGGGGTGTCAAAACAGATTAACGGGTTAGGTTCAGATTTGATTCGAAATTAACACACTTTGAACCCATTAAAAAAAAAAAAAAAAAACACACACACACTTTGAACCCTTTCTAACCTGACCCGTTTAGTAAACAAGTTAAAACTCTAGCTGACAACCTGTGTGCCTGACTCGACCCACTAATCCATTTATATTTAGAAAAAAAAATAATTTTAAACCAAATAGATAGTACAAAAAATGTGAAAAATATCAATCAAGCCTTCCCAATAGTACCAATCAACAAATCTTAATATATAATAGTATATTATATAAATATTCCTAATTAAAAAGACAAATTTGTTGCTACATAAAGTACATCCATCAACATGGGTCAAATTCGAGTTGGTGGGTTGACCTGAACCCCACCTAATAATGAATGGGTTGTGAAATTGAATATGAACTCAACTCATTTATTAAACGGGTAGGCCTGAATTCAAAATTTTTTGGTCAGGTCTAAGCTGTGTTTTGAGATCATGTCATTTATTAGCATCCCCAGAATGAACTCTGTTTATCTGCTCATAAACATAACTTAAAAAATTTCTAATATTACTCGTGTTTGCTATTGTATGATATGATTATATTCAGGTGTAATGATTTGTCCATTATAGCATATTAAGAGGAAAAAAAGGAATGGGGAGCAGAAAAGATCTCATGCACAAAGCACCACGAATTTTCATTGAAATCAAGATGCTGTAGTATCAGGGCTAAAGAACCAGAAACAGTGGAATCTTGTGGCATGGAAATAAATAAGAAAGAAAAAAAATATTCAAGCTCCTAAAAATATAATCTTATTTTTATTGAAGTAGAGAAAGTTGTAAATAATAAAGATACTGATGCCTATTGATATCATTGATTTGCATTTATCATGATCTCATTTTTGGGATGGGAATATAACATGCATTGCAATGTAGGTGCTGTTGTATGTCTTGTAATGATGATTTGGAAGAATATAGTCTCTGTCAAAGTCCTCAAGTTGTTTGTGAGAAATTATCCTCCTATGTGTGAAAGTTGTAGATTTGCTCAAAAACACTATTTTTGTGCCCAATCTTCAAGGTCCACAACATAGCAAAATACGAGTTGTTCACTATTATTGATTGTCTTATGCATGGTTAGAGTTTCTTAAATTTCTAAAGGAACCAAACTCAAGTAATGCATTGCTAAGATAGAAGGAAATGGATGATAGATGTTTTTCAAATAAAGACACTAAAGACAAGATTCTAGTTTGGCTAGAGGAGGTATTAAACCTATATGCTTTTAGTCTTATAATATCACAAAGTTGTCTATTTCAAAACTTCATATAGGTAGTATTTTAAAGTCAAAGCAAATTGTTAATTTTCCCTCAATTCTAGAAAAAGTTTGGGCCATTTTGCCATTGAGACAACCTACATTGTCAAATGTTATTTTTCTGAATAGATTCAACCACTTTAAGTGCCTTTTGAATTACTCCACAACCATACACTTGAAGATTCAAATGCAAGACACACCCTTCAAACTGACTTGCACATTTACTCCCCTCCTCAAGACTTCCATGCTTCTCCTTAACGCTACAAGGTTAATACATTGCTTAAATAAGATAAAGTTATACTTCATTTGGGAAGTGATATAGAGGAAGATGATGATATCTCAAATACCTACAAGCCTAATCATACAAATTGGGGGCAATGTATCTTTTTAAGAAAAGCGAGCAATATGTCAATTTTAAAAAATACTTTTACAGTTAAATTGATCACTCCACAATATTTTAGAGAAATCGTATATCGTGAGGTTCATAATGTTGAAGAGCTTAAAACATTTTATGTACCTCCCTATGTGAAATTGGTGGACCGAGAATTTTGTTTTATAAATTTGGAGAAAATCAAGAAAAGAATCTTGATGGGCTTTAGTGCGAATCTGAATTCAAGAATTATAATTTTGATGATAGTAAATATTTCTGACACTTCTATTTTTTTTACGATTGCCCTGCCTACTAATGTTTCAGGTCCACAAGGCCAATTACAAATCAAGCCAGCTCAAAATTAGGTAGATTAAGACTAAGTCAGTTTGTAAGTGTACTTTAAGTGTTTTTACCATTTCTTGAGTCAAATGTAATTAAGTGGGTTCTGATGCTAAGTAACCTTACACACACACACTGAGGGGAAAAAATTCTGTCTGTTTTAGAGTTTTTTATTTTTGATCATATCGTTCGGGATGATCCTAAATCATCCAAGATGATCAGTTAAAAATAGAAACCCTAATTAGGGCATCTTAGTTAAGGCAACCAAAATTAAGAAAATCATTCGAAATGATATTAGCATCGTCGTGGATGATATGCTCAAATCAGAAAGAATCAGTCGCGAACTCTTTTAGGCATGTTATTATTTTTTGACATCGTCTTAGATGATGCATTACAATTATGCCTAAATTAGTCTGATGATTAAGAAAAGTAATTAAGGTTTGATTAATCAATTATATCGTCTGGGATGATCAGTTAAACAAATCTTAGTTTATTGCTGGACGACCATAATGATATTCTTGACGATATGTATTGATTTGAACTAATCGTACGGGACGATCTTAGAATCGTCATGGATGATCAGTTGTTTTTTAATCATCTGAACATGCAATGTCTGTCCGAACAGAGTGATGGTCTGGATAATATTTGACGTTTTGAACTAATTATACATGACGATCGAGAAATTACCCTTGATGATGTGTTATTTTTTCATCATCCAGACAAGTAAAGTCTAGCTGAATAGAGTGATGGTCTGGATGTTATTCGACATCTTGAACTAAACGTACAGGATGATGTCCCATCGTCCAAGATGATCAGAACAAATAAATATTCTAATCGTCCAGCCTCTCCTAGATCATCATGGCTGATTGATCGGAATTTGCAATGATCGTACAGGACGATCCGTCGATCATCCTGGATCATCTTTGTCTATTAATTGTAATTTAGGGCAAATTTAAAGCCTTTCTATATAAGATCTATTATTTACTCAAGATGTGATCTTTTGGTGGTGTCCTGACTTGAGAGAGCCAAGAGGAGAGGGAGTGATTGGGAGAGAGAGAGAGAGGATCTTGTGAGTGTCAGTTTGCGAGGGTTTCACAAAGGTTGCTCCAAGTAAGGATCCGCATCGTCTTCTCCAGTCATCGTCCCTGGTTCCTTGGAAGTTCTAGAGAGGTCTACTTCAGCGATTGATCGAGGTTCTATGCCTGCTTCAGGAGGAAGCAAATGAAGTTAGGTTCTCTGTCTGCTTCAGGAGGAAGTGGAATGAGTTGGGTTCTCTACCTCACCAAGGTTGGTAGAAAGGAGTTTTTGTACAAGCTTCTCTACCTTGCTATGGGAGCAAAAAGAGAGTCATTGAGTTTAGTGCAATACTTAGATTCACCTTAACCTCAATATCTTCAGCATAAAGTTTCTTTCCAGAGTCAGATATCCACTTTTTTAAAGAGGATACGTGAAACACGTTGTGTATATCAGACATCTGATCAGACAATAACAACCTGTAAGTAGAATTACCAACTCTTTCAATAATCTCAAAAGGTCCGACATACCTCGGACTAAGCTTGCTTACTTTTCTAAATCTGCTAACACTTTTCATAGGACTGACTTTGACATACACAAAATCATCAATCTGAAATTCAACCAGGCTGTGTTTTTGATTATAATACTTCTGTTGTCTATCTTATACAGATTTCAACATTTCTTTAATCAGATTGATCTTCATTACAGTATCATCCATAAAAATTGAACCCATAACTTGTCTATCTCCCACTTCTGTCAAAGTCAAAGGAGTTCTACACTTTCTGTCATACATAGCATCGTACGGTGCCATGCTAATACTTGACTGATACTGTTATTATATGCAAATTCTAACAGTAGGATATAATCTTCTCAACTGCCTCCAAAATCTAGAACACATAATCTCAAAAGATCTTCCAGTACCTAAATAGTCCTCTCAGACTGTCCATCAGTCTGCGGATGAAAAGCCGTACTGAAATGCAACTTTGTACCCAATCCTTGATGAATACCTCTCCAAAGTCTGGAAGTAAACCGGCTATCCCGATCATATACAATCACTTTTGACACACCGTATAATTTGATAATTTCTTTAACATAAATCTGAGCTAACTTATACACCGGATCCATCTGTCTAATTGGAAGAAAATGAGCAGACTTCGTCAATCGATCAACAATCACC